TATATATATATATATATATATATATATATATAGTATTTTTCACAGACTCCTTGCAACACTTGATTTCCTGTGAATTATTCATCGACTACCACACTGTTTCACTTGCTGGTTTCCTTGTACTGCTTTAACTATTAGCCTTATTAATTTAAACACTTCTTGCTCCATTGGTACTGTTGGAAAGAGAGAGTTAAATAAGGGACCTGTTTATGTCAAATATACATGTAGCATTCATTTCAGTATTTAAGTAATTTTTCTTTCGTTTTCTAGATTATTTTCTAGGTCACTCTCCATTTATTTTTGCTTCTGTAGCAACTTTTCATAAGATTTAATTTTTTTAGTCGTAGGGGTTTATGTGAAACTTTTGTAGTTATGTATGCGTATAAAACTTCAAAAAAAAAAAAAAAATTCAAAAGAAAATTTTTTTTACTTATTTAATATAAAACTCACTGCCCTGAAATTTCTGGTCGAGAAATGTAAAAGGTGCAAAGGAAGGGCCGTAAAATGCAAACCGCTGTGCACAATATGCGATACTTACCAGCAGGTCTAAAAGTGCAGAATATTTTTTAAGCTTTCTGCGTTTTACAGTTTCACAAGGTTTGCTTCTCTTTTTATCGCCAGTCATTGAATGCTTAGATTCCATACTTTTCTACGACATTTCATACTGTGTTCTAATGATAAGCTTTATAAAATTCGCTCAAGTTTTCTGTCTTGACATTTTGAAGGAGTAAATTTCTTTAAACATTAAAAAATTTTGTTGAATATCGTACTTCAAAGAATTATTTCATTTCACTACATTTTCTTCTAAGATTTGGTGTTTTTGAATGTTGCTCTTGAATTGCGCCACCTTGCGCCTTTGGAAACTGAGAGCTGTAGAATAGAAAGTGGTTCAGTCGTTCAAAATTTTTGAAGTTTTGATCTTGGAAATACTTAGTAATTGTCGTTGCAGCGTTTACTACATAGTTCTCCAGTAGAGAGTACAACAGATCTTAAATTGTCCTGAAGGAATATGTGTAAAAGCAGCTTCAAAAGTTGACTTAATCTACTGATTTAAGAAAACTGCTACGGGTAATTAAGGAACTGAGAACAACCGAGAGTTCGATGAAAAAAACAAATTTATTTGGTAAATTGTATATTAATAATGATATTTTACGAACAATACTCAGAGAACGAGCCAGGAATATTTGATTTGCAAATGCTGTAATAGTAGTTCATGAAACATCAATTGTTCGACAGCAAGATGTACTGTTTCATTGTTAGTATTGTCAAGATTAAATGTTTGGCGGTGCCAAAAAGTTCTACACTTATTACTTTATCATGCCGTCTCTTTTTTCTTGGTTTTCCCTCTTTTTGAGTTTGTGAAGTTGTTTTGATGATTGGGTAGTGGGTAATTTGTCGGATTGGATTATACACTAATGCTTGTTCTGCATATTCTGGAAAGAATTTCATCATTTAAAGTTTGCAATGAATTTCTTCTTTTTGAATTTCCTCAACATGTCATCTGTTTGCATTGGAGCAAATGGCTCTGGTTTGGACAACCGTATAGCTTTTGAAACTTCTTTGTATAAGGTTTGTTACTAAATTTTAAAAGAATTTCAAGAACAGTCTTTGTTTATAGAACGTTAAGCGCCGTAAATACACTTGATTTAATACTTCTGAGTTCTCGTTTCTCCTAACGTTCTGAAGGTTTTTCTTGTTTTAGAGTAACTCGTGTTCCACCAAATTTCTTTGAAAACTATGACTCCTTTAATCAGTTCTGCGTTGATAGGAACATCATTAATCTTCTCAGAAAAGACTTATATTGGCTCCTCGAGAGTACTACTCTTGATTTTGCGCGGAATGAAAAGAAAACCTCCTCCTCCAGGAAAACCACCAATAGTTCCACCTTCTAAAAAAGTAACTTTTTGTTCACTGTGTTTTTGATTTAACAGCTTTAGTTCGTACTATTTTTGCGATTTTCAGGATCAGAAGTGAGCTCAGCAAAACTAATTACGATTGTTTTTTTTCTGCCCCTCTTTTCTTTAGGTCCATTATTTTGCCTTTGGTAACTGTAACACTAATTTGATCATTTTTTGGCGCTATTGCAAGTACATGAGAGGAAATGGATGGATGTAGAAGACGTGAAAGAACTCCTTTGGCGCCGTCATGCGTATAATAATGCTGTTGTTTCCCTAAGGCGTCTTTATAAAGAGGAGATGAAGGCCAAAGAAGCAGAAGGTAAGTAAATTATTGCATGTTTTTTACACTTGTGAGATGGAAAAATGTATTAGAAAGCTGAACGGTATTATGAGGTTTTTGAGAGAAACAGTTAATAACCTAACGAAAGTGTGTTCCGTCGCAGTGTAACTTGGTTTTCGATCGTCTTGCATTTCTGCATAGGATTTTGTTGGTCTACCTTTCTTCATTATTGAAGTTCTTGATTTTTCTTATTTATATTAGGCACGGGGATTGAAGCACTGAGGAAAAAAGAAGAGAAGGAGTTCAAAATCTTGTTGAAGATGAACGATAAAGCTAACAAGGAGGCGGCAAAGTGGGCATTTTTGTTTGACAGATCTGAGTTTGAATGTAGTTATTTTTTTTTTTTTTTAATGATTCCACTTTAGTTAAAGAAAAATTGAAAACCAGTCGTTTTGTTATTTTGACATATTACTTCAAGTTTATTTAAAATATCATTATTTCTGGATTTTCATGCATTTTCTAATTGTTTAAGCTAGTTTTGATAGAGTTATGATTTGGGATTTGTTTGAATTTTATCAGTGTTATATTAGGCAGCGAGAAGCAAGGGAAAAGGAACAGGCCATAGAACTTGAAAAACAAATTCTCGAACACATCGAGGAGGAGTTAACCGAACAAGCAGAGCTAGCAAAAACAAGGGTTGAAGAAGTTTTAGAAATGGTGTCATATTTTTAAGCATTACTTTTTCTTCTAGCATAACAAGTACTTATTTTTTGAGCCTCGTTTATTTTTTCAGATAAAAAGAAGTAAAGACTTTGTTACGCGTGAGAACTTGGATGAGAAACTAAAAGAAGCACTTGAGAATCCGGTAACTTATGATTTTGCTGTGGATTTACAAGGTCGGAAAATATTCAACCCGCTACCAGTAAAGTACCTTGAGGGAATTCCACCAAGGCAGACCGGTCGCGTTTATGATGTTACTTTGAATAGAAAGGAAGAAGTAGCTAAATAAACTAAATTTTACATTTAGTGTTGGAGCGGTACCCATAGTTTTTGTTGGAACTGTAATAAGTTTTTTTTTAAAAAGTGATTTTATTTTTTGGTCAACAATGCAGAAGGAACAGTTTACTAGTCATCGTAGTATTGTAAAATAAATGTTTCAGTAGTGAAATTTTATTCTTTGCGGCTTTTGAAGCGATACACTCTTACTTTTCTTTCTTATTTTTGACGGAATCCAGTCTCTTTTGGTTCTTTTGCTTTCTGTTTTCTGCAATAATATTTTTTTCAATGTAATAATTCGTTATTCTTTTACTTTTTGATAAAAAGTGAAAGAAAGTTTATCAGTTGACGCGCCCATTAAAGCGAGAAATCACACTATGAGCGCTTGTGAATTGTACTTTGTTTCCATACACTATTGCTTCACTTTCAGCCATCAACAGAAATAAAAATAATCAAATAATGAATATCATGTTTAAAAAGTTAGTGAACAGATCTCAGTAAGCAGTAATGATGTTTTTATATACATAAATCTCATTTCATGGTCTGTCTTTCTGCATTAACTTAGAGTTATTTTTATGTGACTTGTTAACTGTGAATGAATGTAGCGATTAATGTTGATATTGCAGTTATCTTATGAAGCTGGACATTTTATAATTTGCTAAATTTTTTTCCGTTGTTGAAATGCTAACAGTTAGTGCTATGTAATCTGTTGAAAAGTCATAAGTACTATCATGTGTTTCAAAGTTGCTATTCACCCGAAAAGCGAATGACTCATGGTTTGCTGCACTTTGATGATTAGACTGTTTGGGGTATACGTTTTACCACCTCTGTTTTCCTTGTCAAATTAAGCGGCGGGAGAACTCGAAGCGTGGTTCTTCGTTGTATTGATCTGGTTGGGTAGGTGACCGTTGACAATACAGTGCGTATTCCTAAGTGGTCGTTCTTATGATGCCTGCTTTTTTGCAACTGTTGCTCCGACGGTGTTCCTCCATTTCTGTATATGTTAATTATGCGTATTAATTGACTTCGGCTTTTCACTTGGGGGTTACTTGTAAATGTACATTACAGTGGTGCTATTTGCTGTGGACTTTTTTTTTCAAATTTTTTTAATGGTCTTAATTTTGCTATTGGTATCGCTCATTCATTATGCCAAAAAAAAAATAAACCTATTGTCAAGTTTCGGCGTTCTTTTTCATTCGTGTCTCGTTCGTGTCTCTACGAGTTTTGCGACGTATTTTCTCCAATAGCTGTTTCGAGTGACCAGTATGTTTCTAGTTATAAGAAGTCTGTATGCTGCGGAAATTTTTTTGATAAGTAACTTTAATAAAGAAGGCAAGCAGGTCGTCCTCTCTTTTTTTTTTTTTTTTGTGTTTTGCAATTTTATTAGGTGTTGCAGGTTTTAATTCATTTACTGAACTGAAGTCCGGTTTGGTTGACACTAGGTTATCTATCAATGCCCGCTCCTCCTCCTCCACCCCCACCACCTCCACCATCAGGAGTTGGTGGTAAAATATCGGTTACACCACCTGGTGGAGTTGACAGAAAGGCTCTGCTAAGTCAGATTCATGCAGGCACTAAATTGCGGAAGACAGTTACAAATGATAGGTCAGCGCCTCAGATTACGGGGAAAGCAAACAGTACTGGTAATTCACTTTTGTATTTTTTTCAGTAGTACAGGAAGAAACGAGGTTTTATAAAATAGAGGTTCTTTTCACGTTTAAAGGTGGATTTAAATCGACTGGTCCTGGCGTTCGTGGCGGTGGTTCCGGTCCTAAAGGTATGGCAGTTGGGGGATTATTTCCCAACGGTCGACCACCAATGAGACCTTCTGAAAACAAGAAAAATTTGCTTTTGCTGAATACTAACAGTTATACAATGAAAGGTTAGTTTCATTTGTCAGTTCACATTCATTTTATTATCTGTGATTTTCGCTCAGT